TGATCAGGCCATGCAGAGCCGCGTGCTCGTGCCTTGTGTCTCGCGAGAAAGCGAACAAATAGCATAAAATATCACCGCAGTGCGAACGGACACGTGTCAAACCCACGAAGCGTTTGCTACCATCCAGATAATCTGCTCGTTCAGAGTTCCGTTCGGCTGTGTCAATGATGGCTTGAGAAGTCGTTTGTCAAGCGTTTTATTGGCGGAACGGCTCGTGCGTAAACCTGGAGGCGGTTCTGCCGGCCGTCCATCACATGAATTCGATTGAATGTTCCTCCATCAGTACATGACCACGTTCAATAGTCACGCCGTGATTGAGTGATCATCCGTTGAGACTTCGCCAAAGACGAATGCGAGAAACTCCGGCCATGCTTGGGTCAGCGCTGGAACCATGTTCAAACGAGCCCCCCGAATGCGTACTCGGATACGACTCCGACGAGGTCTTAAAGTTTTTGGTCAGGATGAATACGTTCTCGAGATTTACAACCACGATTCCCTTCATCCGCGGCGGAGGGGCTGACCCATCCCGGATGGTTGCAGATGCCCCTCCGAGCATGGGCTATTAAACAAGGCCGATTGTGCTGAGTCGTTGAAGGAAGCAGCATCTCGGCTGTCAGGGCCTGATGCACTTCTCGTGTTGTCCTTCCGAGATATCATGTTCTACGACTCCGAGCTCGGGTAAGAAAATCGAGGACGAACATCCGTAGTCTTTTGCCGACCGCGACGAACGATCGGCACTTGCTTGAAAGAACTGTCGATGAAATTAGGTAGCACTGAAAATTTACAGTCAAGACAGACTGACGGATGGCTCTATAACGAAATTACGATGAACTGTTGCTTGGAATTCACGGAACGAGATTCCTCCTTCACAAGAGATCCATCATAATATTTGGAACAACAGCTGGACTCCGTTGTCTTGATGAGCTTAGCGTCCGCTGCTGCGCCAGAGAACCTCTTGAATGAGAAGCTCGATCCGAACCAGTTCGCGTCTGAACGTTTAACGTTTTTCTTCTGCTTGAGCGAGCCACCCCTAGCTCGGGAAACCTCTTATTATTTTCTCCAAAAGCGTTCCTTCCTCCCTCGGGCTGGGTTACGCTTCTCGCTTCGAGACCGAAATACCAATGTACAGACGGGAGACAGAATAGACAGATTCCGTAAGAGCACGCAGCAGATTTCGCGACAGTCTTGACAACTTCCGACGGAGGTGCTCTCAGGCATCACACCAACATAAGCGGGGATCGTCGCTCCGTGGGCGGACTATTGACTGAGTGAGACTAAGATAATGCTATCCGGTCGCAGGCGAGAGGAGGCGAAACCGGAACGTGGAAATTGTTCGAGCTCAGTATAATTTTTCGATGAGCACGGATAGTTCCTGACAGCGCCGTTCGACATGAGCTCGGAGCATCCGCTCACAGATCCACAGGAGCGTAATCAACAGATTGATTCGGCGTAAGGAAAGGATTAGAAGCTTCAGTGCGGAGATTTCTCCTCGGCCTGAGCGAAAGCGAGCCATAAATTTAGGGCCTCTCGAAGAATTTATTCGGCTTTGCCCGCCGATGGTCGTACCAGGTGCGAGCGTTCTTATCGGCTCAAGTCACAAGTATAATATGCCCTCGACGTGATCATTCATCGGGGTAATTTTCATCGTAATACTTGACGACTATGGGGCGGAGGCACCGAGTTCTCCCGCAATCAGATTTCAATCTGTCAGGGAGGAGGCGGGTATTTCCAAGGCATGATCTCATCAGGCAGGCATAATTGACGAAACCTCCTGCCTTGTGATTCAGCTTTGATTTGGAGACGAGGCTCATCAACGGAGAGTCTTGGCACAAAGAGGGTCAGAACCGATGGGACATCCAGATGATCTGTCTCAGGCTCTCAGACGAAATATTTAAGCGAATAGGAGCGACGCGGATATCCCGCCTGACGATTATCAATTCATCCCCGATGCCTGAAGCGGGTATGATAGGTCCCTGATTGCACCCGGCGCCCACACACCATCGCTTGAGAGGTGAAAATGCGCAAGGTGGCGGGGGTCTTCGAACCCTTCGGGCTCCGGACTTACTCCTCTATGTTCGATGCGGTTGGCGTATGAGGAATCACTGGGCTCCATCACTACGGCTATGGTTGACGGGCTACAGCGAAATTCATCCATCGGTATCGAGGCTCCAGGAAATCAATTCGTGGTGGAGATGACGGAACCAGTCCATGGAGATTACGCGACAGATTATATCAACTTACTATGATCGATCACTTTCGTTATCGATACGACGTGATCTGCTTCACGATTCGCGCTCACTCCCGACGAATGGCACTTTGTTCAAGGTTTTTCAGACTATTCACGGAGCGAACTCAATACCGAAGGCATCTTCATCGTACCCGCGCGACAGGAGGCGAGAGGAGCTCATATCCGAAGAAAAAGGGCTTTCTCTGTCCGGCACGAGATCATTTGCGCCGGGTGGGCATTTCGATGTAGATTTCCAAGCCTTGAATACATTCTCGTATGGATAGTTTGCAACAGAAAATCATTTTTTCTTCACGCTCGTGATGCCCTCATATCCTCTTACAGTGTGAACAATACGACTGCTATGAGGAGCATCCTCATCATTTGCATTTCAAGAATCGTCCTGAAAGGGCGGCTCTGTGCCAACTCAGAATCGACGACCATGTTGGCTTGGGACGCCGTACTGTGGAGTTTCTCGCTTCATTGACGATATCACACCGACGACGCGATGTATCTAGGCTGTGTCCATGATGAAGGGGAAAGCTCGCAGACTACTTCGAATCACAAAACGAATCATCCACGATATTTCGCGGAGCTTCTGACCATTCGCGTTTTCGGGTCGATTGGAACAATCGAAGTGCCGACTGAGATCCGAAACGCGGGTCCGCGCGGTCAGCTCTACATCTGCGGTGTTTGCTCCAAAAACAGTTTTTTGAAAAGAGCTTCGCTTTGTGTGAGTTCGATCGCAATCACTTATTTAAACCGTTTCGAACTCGAGGCGTAAAAACTCCTTGTCTCAAATCTCCTGGCGGATAGAACACTTTTTTTTTGATGACGGAGAGCTCCGCTGTGACGGCGCTCCCGCATCTTCGATTCAGAAAAGTTGTCAGAGTACAGAACGCGAAGCATAGTCGCCACAGTGCAGAAAAAGCGTGGTTCTATCGGTTCGGAATTTTATTGTCGGCGCTATAATGTCTTTCAGATTCATTCGAGGGTCACGACATGGGTCCTTCATTGCGCCACCCTCGTGTCGTTGTCGATGTCGACGTCGCGAGAACACTAACGATACACCCTCGTCAACCTGTGGATTGTTTCCAGAAAACAAAATGAGAAGCGTCCAAATCACGCGCGACCATTGAATATCAAGGTTGTCAATTGTCTGGGGTCGCCTCGGAACGACTAGCGAGGATCCGACGATTCGACGACGGATTCAAGGCGCGTCCCCTCGTGCGGCACGCCGTCAAAGGAAAAAACTCATGATATCAATTCAGGTGAATTATTCCGTCGTTCATCCTCAGCCAGCGAAGTCATGTTTCGCTTCTTCTCGTGGAGTCGGCGCGTTGACTTGAAGCTGACGGACCACAGGTGGCGGAAATCTAACACCTCTCGCTAAACGTACAGCTGTCTGTCATTACCAGAAGAAGAAGGGAAACATGCACTTGTAGAAGTGCCGCAGAGTGAAAATCTCAGTTTATGCGCCAGGGAGCGGTTCTCAAACTTTTTTGCTCGCTTGTCTGCGCCCCGTCGACTTTCGGAATTTAATTTTCCCGAATCGCCACGCTCATCGTATACGTGTGAGCGATACAGAACTGATATAGAACGATTCGCTGAGAAAGCTGGCGAAATAGCTGTGCTGAGTGGCGAACGCTCCTCTGTTCCACGGAGACAGAGTTTGACAGGCGACCTGCGCAAGATTGATACTGAGTGATTTTCTAGCGCTGTTTAATCTTCAAATTGGGTTTGCAGCATTCGGTTAGAGCCGCTACGAATCTGACGGCGGCAATCGCGGGGCGACTTCTCGTTTTGGGTGATCGAGTCCGGACGCCTGTGGAGCGAACAGCTTCGGTTTTATGCTTCCCCGGCGATATGTAGCCGTGCGCCGAGTTCTCCGAATCGGCATCTTCACTTCAACACAGACAAGCGAGGGAGCCCGGGCCAGGAGCCCGGACTCTCGACCGCTGACGTTTTTTCTGCTGAGCGCGGGGAGCTTCAAAGAATAATTGAAATTCCCGCTGGATTTGAGAGAAATTCCGCGATGTCGGGGGGGGCTTGATGAGTGGAATCAAGATATCAGAAACGCTTTCAAGCCTATGTTTGTGAAAGCTTCGTTGAGACGTTTCATCGTTTTCGAGATTAATGAGCCTCATCCCTCCTTGATTCTAAATTAAGAATCAAGTCGAGGAGACATTTCTCTCAAGGGAAACTGCGCCAAGACGCTCGTTGAAGAGAAAAGTGTCCGTCGATTACAGACGCCTCAACCTCTGTTGGTGTAGAACAAAGGGAACCTGGGTCCCCAAGCGCTTCTCAGAAAAGAAAAAGGCTGTGCGTTGTATTAAATCGACTCTCAGAGAGTGATCTATAGACTTGCCGCCCACAGCGCTGAGGCTTAGGGACCCTCCCGTGTACTTCATCACAAACCTCGTTTTGGACAGATGACTCCCCTTGTTGTACGACCTTCAAGAGAAAATTTCCTCCTCCTAGCATTCAATGCTGGTATCGATAGCCTGTACCCCAACACGGAGAACGAGCTTCGGAAGAACTCCTCCGATCTCTGCGGAGGGTCTCTCTCTTAATTATTGCCTGGAAGGGTTTTTTCAGTTTCAGAATTTTTAATTCAGCCAGGAGTCTGCGGTTCACTAACGGGGAGAGCCTTCCGCGTTTCAGATATCTGCGATGCCCTCATACCTGCATCACGAGCCCTCGGGAAGACTGGACCGCATACCGCGGTTGAATGGAGCCATTCCTTGAAAACAAGAGGAGCCCAACCCAATCCACAATGAAGATCGCAGTGCTCTTAGTCCCATTCGTGGCGCATCTGGGAGGCGCGCGCATTTCGCCATCGTGTCAGGGTTCCTCGTGTCATTCCGTGGCGCGGCTCGTGCTCTCGAGTTCCTCGGTCACGGGACCCTGCGATATCGATAACGGTGGTTGTGAGCAGCATTGCCGAGTGCGGAACGGCTCTGCGGAATGCTTCTGTGATTCGGGCTTCCTTCTCGGATTCAACGACAAAGATTGCCTCGACATAAACGAATGCAGAATCCTCACCCCTAATCCATGCGACCACAAGTGCATCAACCTACCAGGCTCCTACCGCTGCGTATGCAATTCCACCTTCGTTCTTTCGCCATTCGATTTCAAAACCTGCGTATCTCAGAACGAGTCGTTCGATACCTCGTACTTGCGTAGCTCTAGATACAATATTGACCACTGCCGAACAAATAACGGGGGATGCGCTCACAACTGTCAGCCGGACCACACTTCGAAAGCTCGGGTCAAATGTTCCTGTCGGAGCGGCTTCCGGCTGGCCAAGGACGGAAAAGAGTGCAAGGATGTCAACGAGTGTTCAAGAAACAACGGTGGCTGCGAGCAGATTTGCAAGAACAAACACGGCGGCTATCATTGCGCCTGCTACAACGGACACAAACTCCACCAGGACGGTCGACGCTGTGTGCTGTCGGAGATCACGGGGCTCAAACGAATGGAAATGCATTCGAAAACCGTCAGGAGTAACGAAACGCAATTCGTCGACCTCTCCAGATACCTGAGACAGTGTCCCTACGATAGGTACGGAAAAAACTGCGAACACAACTGTTACTGCCATCCACAAAACGGAAAATGCCACAAACGAACCGGTCACTGCAAGTGCAAAGCCGGCTTCCACGGGAGACATTGCCACCAGAAATGCAACCCGGGGACGTACGGGCCGAACTGCAAGCGCAAGTGTAACTGCGGCCCGAACTCCGAAGGCTGCCACAAGAGTTCCGGGAGGTGCGTGTGTAAGAAAGGATTCAGCGGATCGGACTGCTCGATCTCGGGCTGCCCCGACGGATACTTCGGCTCGGATTGTTTGACGCCTTGCCGGTGCATGAACGGCGCCAAATGTCACAGCCAGACCGGAGCGTGTGAGTGCGCGCCAGGATTTCACGGCTACAGTTGCGAGTCGCATTGCCCCGAGGGCTCCTACGGTCACGGATGTCGTCGTCGCTGCAGCGGATGTGAGGTGTGCCACCCGATCACCGGCGTATGCTTGTCTCAGTTCCGATTCAACTGTCGAGGGGATGCGTGCCGATCATCATTACAGAAGTGTGACTGTGAGCATGGGTCGTGTTTGGCGGGCAAGTGTATCTGTACCCCCGGCTGGCGGGGGGAGCGCTGCGATCAGCAGTGCCCGCCAGATTGGTACGGCCAGAACTGCCAGCAAAAATGTCGATGTACCAAAGGACGGTGTCATCCGTCCGACGGAAGGTGCGTCTGTCCTCCAGGCTATACGGGATCTCGTTGCGAGCAACCCTGCGCAAAAGGATTCTTCGGCAACAACTGCAATTACACATGCAGCTGCTCGAGAAAAAGTGAGTAACCCGATTTTCTCAATTGTCCGATCGGAAATTTGAAATGTTCCACTAGTCCGAACGCGGTCTGACGGAATCGGCTTCCGGTCATGGGACCCGGGCTCTGCGGACCCGATTCACGATGGACGACACGAGCAACAAGTTTCAGTGGGTCATTGACGTGTTACAGGTGTCTGCGATCACGTGACTGGTACGTGCCAATGCCCAACAGGCTTCGAGGGATCTCGTTGCGACACGCCCTGTAGAAACGGGTACTACGGACCGAGTTGCAGTTTTCGTTGCCACTGCATGAACGAAGCTCCGTGTGACGCCTTCACCGGCGGCTGTCGTTGCCTGGCCGGATACACAGGACCCCGTTGCGAAAATCAGTGCCCACCGCTCTCGGCCGGCCCCTACTGCGGATTGATCTGTCAATGCAAGAACGCCGGCACTTGTGACCCGGTCACCGGCTTCTGTGAGTGTCCTGCCGGCTTCCAGGGCAGGTATTGCGAGCGAACGTGTGACGAAGGTTTCTACGGACCGTCGTGTGCGTTCAAATGCTCTTGTTCCAAGTGTGATCCGGTGAGCGGGGACTGTTTGGTAGGAGGAGGCAACTCGGAGCTATGAGGCGGAACTCTTACTCAGATATATTTACTTCTGATCTTTCTATCCGTCATTTGCCCTTCGCCTCTCTACGGTGAATCTCATTCAGCTGTGTAGCGGTTTCGGAACTACCCAGTTCTCAACCGTGAGCGAATACCGGTAATTGAGTCGATCGTTCCCGCTCCTTAGTTAAGGAAACATCCGGCGGAACGAAGCAGACAATCTTTCAGTAGAATCGAACTTTAGAAGCTGAAGATATTCGCGATCCACGCCAAACAGTACGGATCGTGACACTCAAGCCAACCCTCAAGGGAAATCTGTTGTGCCAACGACTTCAGCTGTGATCTCCCGGCCGCCGAGACGGTCAGAATTATGTAGAAACGCCGGAATTTCAATGGAATAGAAGCCACCGACGAGCTGGCTCCGCGACACCGCCGCGCCAACTCGACTCCTGCCGAAGCGCATAATCGAATGCTTGTTGAATCCCATCGAGGCCTTTCGGCCGAAAAGCCGATGATCACCCGGGATATTTTCCTCGGAGCAGCGACCTAACAGCATCAGAGGCTTAAGTTCAAAATGCGAGAAAATCTCAAATGGTAATCGGAAGACGTTTGTTCTGGAACGGGAGAATGTCGGCCGCCCTGGAAACGCCCTCAAATTCTGTGTCTGTATTTTTTGAGAATATTCTCGATATATTCCGTATTCTAAGCGATCGGAACCGGAACAATTTTTTTTCGTCTTTTTTTTGTTCGAATCAGCGGATGAATGAAGAATCTCAACTCGTGTACATTTCGGATTTTTTTCAGTACGCGTGCCTTACTCCAGCGCCTGACTGAGAGCGTGCTGGCCGCCACTATTGTGTTCAGTGTATAAATGTTGTGTATAGGAATTTTCGAATTGATCATTGACGACTGGCGAGAGACTGACTGCAGAAAAAGAAGATCCTTCTTCTCATTCATCGATTGATTGATTCATTCATTTCTTCCCGGGCTGGACTATTCCACTCGAAAGCCTGGATGTTGACCGGGCCTCATGCTGTGCACCATTAATCGCAGACACTCATCGAATCGACCCCGAAACAATATCCACACTAGTAAATAAAACTGGATGCAGATAATGACCGCGATAAAATGACAATAAAGATGAGATCAAAATAACCTGTCCAGTGCATTCACTTCTATCATCAGAATCGAGGTCCCCGATATACCCAGTATCATTCGCAAACGTCACGTTTTTTCGCTGTCGAGGACTCGCAATAGAACATCGGCTGTTATCGTCGGGAAACCGAGGCTCACCTCCCTTGCTGGAAAACAGCCCCACCGGGCAAGCGCAAAGAGCAAACCGAGGCTTCCGGATCTGGAATGAGTTCTGTCGAGCGTCTCGATGAGGGGAGTTCATCCCGACCACGTGGGCTTGAACGTCTCGCTATAAGCAGAGATGCTTCCACTCCGCTCTGATTGATGAACAACGCGAGCCTGGCAGTAGCAGAGGGCAACGCAAGACCAGCGGTAGCTTGATGCCTGCAAACTGCGCTTTTTGGTAAGACTGTTATGCAGCGGCAACATTAGCACTGCCTATCTGAGTGAGTGATAGAGTGAGTGACTGACTGACCGAGCGGGTGAACTCGAGCCTCGACCGCTAAGCATGCATGCTTGACTCTCGCTGAAAACGAGGAACACTCGAAGAAAGCGTCTCTCATCGCAACCATTATCTGGTCGGCCCGGCCAGGCTGGCAGACTGAAATTAGGCAGCAGCAGCTTGTAATGTATTGGCTGCTTTTGCGGCTGGTTTCTCTGACTGACTGAACCAGCGTTGCTTGGCGGTCTTTCCTTCATCGGTCGGGGATGGAGGTCCCTAATTCATTATTTAGGCCATCTGCATCAGCTTCCCCTGACGTGGCCGTCAGACCGGTCCGGTGTGAGCCCGGACCATGAGCCTGACTGAGGGTGACTGACTGCCAGTCAGTGACTGGTTAGGGTCGAGATGATTTCAAGCCACATCGACTCTGGACAAACGAGCGAAGATCGCCGGCGTCTCCGTGAAAGGGTTTCTGTGGTACTATGTGGCTCATGGGAGGAAACATTCATCGCTCACGACCACTAAGTCCACAGAATCCCGCAACACTCAGCAGCGGATCAGGGGGAGCTCAAAAACCGCCTCGCGGGTCCTGCATGCCCGTTCCCCCCAGTCTGACTCTTTGGTGTCGATCCGCTCTTCCCGCGAGGAGCGCTCCGCAACCTCGCGAAGAATGCCCTACCACCACGGGGATCCGAGAAGGTGTCCATCTTCGGTCTCGAAATTATGGAGATGGGCCCGAATTCGGGTAATAGAGATTTTTACAGATCATTTATGACCAGATTTTAATGGATAATATTTATGCCCCGATTGTTGCAATACTCCCCTTTGGCACAGGCTCGGGATCGACTCCAGGATTGACTTTGATAGATTAAGCGCCGGAAGTGGGCTTGTCGATTCCTTACAATAACTGACCGCGGGATTGTTCCATGCACGTGAGCGGTAAGCGTGAATCGCAGCGGAACTAAGCTCCTGGTTACACCGGTGGTATATGAAGCCGTAAAACAGCTGACAGCTGAGCTTGGACCTGGGAATATCTCACGCTATGAGAAGCGAGGTGCAGACTGACGTGTACCAGCCAAGGTAAGAGAGATAAAAAGAGTCTCGGGCAGGACCTCTACTTTGGGATCGGACACGATCGCTGAGCTCTCGGAGCTCTGATGAAAATTTGTTCCCGGCTCCAGATTACTTCCACTTTTCTTGTCTTGTCCGATCTTTCCGAGAGTATTAGTACCTGAACTGATGATGAGATCTCTCGAGGCAAACCCTCTTGTCTTCGTGGAACGAATTGGATACCCAGGAGCACCGTAAATCATTCTCCTCGCGATTCGGCATTCGAAAGTCAGAGAATGAATGCTCAGGGCTGGGCGAAATGAAAAAGTCACGGCTTTGTGTACATACGGAGTCTCAATAGAATTCTTCAACTCCTTTCTCGCAAGACAGGCGCACCACGCAAATCGAAATCGTTGTGATCACTCAATCGCGGATGAACTGATTAATTGAGCTGTTTCTGCCGCACAGCGGGGAGTGCTTCGCCGATGCCAGAAGGATCAGGCTTATGTGGAATATATGTCGAAGCGATTTGGAGAATATCACGAAGCAGCAGAAAGCGTCTTCGTGAACAGAAGTCTTTTCCAGCTCATGTCTCGATGTGCCCCGGAATAAGCCTCTTCTCCGGGAAATAAAACGAGATTCCTTCTGAAGGAGCGCTGCGGGTTATATTCAATGTTAGAAGTGGTGTCGACGGTGTCGATACGGATCCGAGCCGACCTGCTCTGAGGAAATTGGAGTTTGACATCTCGGGAAGGAAACCTCTCCGTCCGATTAGTATAGCTGGCGGTTCCCGAGGGAATTAGCGGGGCGGATGGCCCACTGAATAGGAGAATGAATGGAAGTTTGATTCTCGCAAGGCCGTTCGAGACCATTGCGTGGGAGAACTCGCCCCCAGATAGTTGCCTCGTGCTATGTACTCGAAGAACTTGGCGAACGGAACCAATTGGGAGTGTGTGTCACTCAAAGTCCGCTTTTCTTTGAGTCTGCCTTGTTTCTGAGGGGAGAGAAGACTCTATCGGAAAGCTGACGGCGCACGCTTCGCTTTTTGAGAGCCGGCACCATGACAAACCTTAGGACTGGAAGATGGCCGGACGGCTAGAAAGATTCGCTCAATGTCCACACACAGCACCATCTTGCAATAACACGAAGGCAAGAAATCAGGGTAGGGCGGTCCCCTTCAACCGGGCGACCAATATTCAACGGAAACTAACAGCTAGGCTGTGTCTCGAGTGGTTGCAGATCGACTTCCCTGAACGCACAAGTCATAGAAATTATCGTTCTAGGTTTGTGTCCTGAGCTTGCGCCGGGACATCTGAAGGAATTTAATGCGATAGAATTCTGGACGGCTGTTGATGGTCATCGTGGGACTCGCAAACGATGGCTTATCTGATGAAGCTTCTTGCGGGATTCGACGCACAAGTCCCAATCCTCTCTGACAACACAGCTAGAAAAATACTGACACCGAAATCATGCTCCATTAGGTACTCCTCTCACCCCTGTTTCCCTTCCTTCCGGTCTTCAGGGTGTCCGGAGTGATATATTGAGAGAACTAATATCCCTACACCCCCGGTCTACCTGACGCTAATATCGCAGGTTTCTTGGCCCCTCCAGAAAAAAAAGCCAATGCCACCTCCAACTCGAAAATTCGAATGTGATTGCTTTGTTGTGAGACGAGGTTCGACAATCATAATTATTCAGAGAGCGAAACTACTTCGCTCGGTGGGCAATCATGGGAAAAATCGAAAAAAAAAATGCAGGAGTGATTGCGCCTCCCATGTAGACCCCTAACTAGGCTTTGCGAAAAACCGCGGTTATCGACTGCGGTTATTCGCTGTCCCCCATAGAGTCCCATGTTGAAGAAAAACCGCATTTGCGGTTATTAACCGCGGTCGCAAAGCCTACCCCTAACTCGAGGAGGAACCTCGCTTTCGTGCCGTGATTCTACTGATCGATACTCGTCTCCCATTTCCCAAAAACTCAGGTATACTTCCTCATGACTCCCTTCCGATCTCCCGACGGAGAGAAGGGCAGGAAACGGGCGGCGAGCTTAGCTGACAGATTTGAGGCCGCCCGCCCAGGAAATCGACCGACGATATTTGCCGGGAAGCCACCGAGAACGGGCTGGAATGCAAGTGGTGCTTCGAGCTGCTTCGACTTCTAGGACGCAAGGAACTGTAGGATAATGGCTCGCTGGGTGCGAAGTTCTTACAGGTACGCAACGACCAGACCGTACCGTAATTATTTCAATCGATGGAGTTGCCCTCGGTGCGATACGGTGAAGAACGGGGCGGAATTCTCTCCCGGACTTGTTGCCCGATTGCGCTATGGGATGGACGTTGGCATCGCCTGCCTTCATGTCGCTCCTCCGTTCCTCTGAATCGAATTCCAAAGCATTTGACAAGATATCAGCCGGGTAATCGGAGCCGGTGGACCACTTGCTGAGGAACACGCAATCTTCGTCCATTTAGCTTGTCGGGTCTTCCCGATCCTTTAGTGCATCGCACTAATGTAAAACTGGTCTCCGCGGGCACGTACAGGGTGGTTTATCGACTTTTGTGCTCATCGCTGCCCCAAGTGACCGCTGTAACCCTATCGAAGGGATGTCCCTCGAAAACTCTAGTAGTCAAAGCTCCGTTGAAGCGTGGTCGAACGCAGCTTGCTGAGTCGAGCCACTTCCGCGGTGATCATTCCGAGAAAGCTGCTTATGGATCGAAGAGTTTGAGGAAAAAATATCCGTTGCGAACAATAACGCCGCGAGAATATCCCACTCGCACGTAGGAGAAGATACTCGGTGGTGTCACACGGGAGAAAAAACTTTCGCGCGGACTCTACCAGGCTCCGATAATAATGAGCTCATACTGATTGAATTTTTGTTAGCGCTCCCAGACACTGGCTAGACCGCACGTGAACCGACTAACGATTAGGTATGAAGATCCTCTGTTTATACGAACCTTCGCACATCGTGAAGATTCTCTTTATGAGGCTAAATCTCCCTTTCATAATCCCCTTGCTCGAATATCCACACGAGGAAAAAGGCTGGAGATTCCAAAAGCTGCCGAAAGGAATTTTTCGCCACCCTTCAATCTGCGGCTCTGCTACACTATATCAACCTTTTCTCCGAGAAGCCTCATTGGAAGTGGCCACTAAAAATACTTCGGTCCAGCCCGGTCTCGATTAAGCTTCCGGAATAGGCTCTACTAGTGGGAGGCTGGGTGACAGAATTTATTGCTCGTGGTGAAGGTGTCACTCGAGCAAATCGCAGGCATCTCAAAAGCATTCCGATACGAGTCTCTCGTATCTACCGCGCATCGGCAATCTGATGGCCATCTCCCTTTGCCGCGCGGCGGTATTTACGTGCCGTCTCTCCCGGATCGCTCCTGAGAAGGAACTGTGACGGTGACAGCTTCATCGTGCTTAGTCGGCGTGAGTTCTGCGTGTCACATCAATGAATCGAATCGTGCGATTCAAGCTCCGGGCATGAATAGTCCTGGTATGCTTTGCACCGAACACGGCACGGATCTATAGGCATCGACCACGTGGCCATGGCAACCTGCTGAGGACAACAATTGCAGCATTCGACAGCCGCGCTTCGCGAGGCATGAGCCTCAGAACGTCGTCAGCGACTTCACAGGGTACACAGGTTCGCTCGTAGGTCTCGTGGCTTCCCTGTGCCGCCGCTGTTGCCGCGCCGTCGTCGCCTAAGCGGCTGAGTTCATCGTTTGTTCGTTGCCCGATGTGTCGCTTGTCAAGCAGCGAGGAGCGGAACGTCATGAGCTGTGTCTGGTGATCAGACGAGACTGTCGTGACTCAAGTCATCATCACGCAGGACACGTCATGGATTTCGAGAAAGCAGAACAGCCGCGAATTCCAATGTGGTCGCGGGCTTTCAGCTCGACTACGGAATGGAGCGGTCACAGCGAGAAGGACGACCGGCCGAAAACCGGCAACGGCGACAAGTTTCAACGCCAAAAAGAGCTTCTCGAGCAGAAGCAGAAACAAAAACGTTTACAGAGCGCAACGTTGATCAAGGCCACCGATGGAAGACGGAGGCCCTTGTCTGGCATGGTCGAACGCCACGCGTACGACGGACCGTTGCGTGACGTTCCCGGGAAAGATATCGACGATCTCGAAGACAACGCGTGGAAATCCCAAGTGAAGACGCCGAAGAAACAGAGACCGCAGATACTAGCCAGTAAACCTAAAGAGATGGAGTTGGACCTGGGAAGGAATTCTCCTGTGGAGGAAATCCTCGAGAGTCGACCGGTGTCTCACAACCCGTGGAGGAGATCCTCTTCGGTTTTATCGCTAGATACCCCGTCGGAGTTGCGAGCCGCTCAAATTCACGACGCGGGGTCGAGCATCCTTTCGACAACAACAGGTGATAGTCAAGCGTTCGAACGGGAAGACATCGGCGCTTTGGAAGATATTCTCCAACAGAGTGTCCTCGACTTTGTCCAGGCTGCGTGCCCGAAAGGTGTAACGGTGAAATGCCGAATTACGCGGGATAAGAAAGGCGTGGATCGAGGTCTGTACCCGACGTACTATCTTCATTTGGAGCGACCGGACGGCAAGAAGATCTTCTTACTGGCCGGTAGAAAACGAAAAAAAGCACCACCTCTAATTACCTCATTTCGGTGGACCCCACGGATCTTTCGAGGAACGGTGAAGCCTTCATCGGTAAACTTCGCTCGAATCTCTTCGGGACGTCGTTCACAATCTTCGATGGGGGAGACAACCCGAAGAAAACGTCGAATAAAGACCAAACTCGTAGCGAAATCGGGGCGGTCATCTACGAAACCAACGTACTCGGTTTCAAAGGGCCTCGTAAAATGACGGTATTAGTTCCGGCCGTCGACGACAACCTGGAACGACACGTCATGAAGTCGGCCACGGATACAGAATCGATCATCGAACGGTGCAAGGCAGGGAGATTGGATCATCTTGTGAAACTCGAGAACAAGCAACCGGTTTGGAACGAGGACACCCAGAGTTATGTCTTGAACTTCCACGGCCGGGTG